GGTACTGCCCCAGATCTCCACCCAACGTTGTAGAGGCGTGTCAACCAGGACAGCCTTAGAATGTCCAGAGCCTTCAGTAACTCGGGGCGGACCTCATCAACACCAGGGGCTCTGCCACCAAGGAGTTGTTTAACTACCTCAGTGACCTCGCCCCCGGAAATTGGTGGGTCAACCCGCTCATCCCCAGACTCTGCTTCCTCATCGGAAGACGTGTCAGTGGGATTAAGGAGGTCCTTGAAGTATTCCTTCCACGCCCGACAATTTTCTCAGTCGAAGTCAGCAGCGCTCCACCAGAGCTATACACAGTGCAGGTAGAGCACCACTTTCCCCTCCTGAGACGCCTGACGGTTTGCCAGAATCTCTTCGAGGCAGTCCGAAAGTCTTTTTCCATGGCCTCTCCGAACTCCTCCCACATCCGAGTTTTTGCCACTGCCCGAGACGCATTCCGCTTGGCTTGTCAGTACCTGTCAGCTGCCTCCGAAGTCCCACAGGCTAACCAAGCCCGATAGGACTCCTTCTTCAGCCTGGTGGCTCCCTTCACCTCTGGAATCCACCATTTGTTTAGGGGTTACCACCATGACAGGCACCAACCACCTTGCGGCCGCAGCTCAATGCAGAAGCTTCAGCAATGGAGATGCTGAACATGGTCCATTCGGACAATGTCCTCAGTCTCCCTCTAAAATGCTGGTGATGCTCTGCCGGAGGTGTGCGTTGAAGATCTCACGGACTGGGGCCTCTGCTAGGCGTCCCATATGATCTTTCTCTTAGTATTTAGGCATGAACACAACACCGACAGCCCAAAGCAAAGATGAAACCAGCACAAAGAGACTTTAAAGCAATTGTAATGAAGGAAAAGGAGAAGGAATAGGGAGGTCCTTTTCCATCAGGCTAAATGAAATAAATATAAAGGGGCCGTGGTAGCTAAGGAGTATGAAACTCAAGAGCAACTACTTCAGTAAACACATTAGCTAGATGGTAACTATAATAGTTTGCTCTTTAGAATTCAAAGCAGACATTTTAGAGTTGAGTTGGGCTATGACAGTGAACCAACAGAAAGGTATTATAACCTTTTAATGCAAAACTATTAATTATAACCACTTCAGCAAAATATGCAACATTTCGGAGCAATGTAAATGCGACAGTAAGAGATATTTGTATGATTGGCAAACACATTGTTGAGAAAAGCCTTTTAATGTTGCAGAACAGGTAACAGCTTGCTCACCAGTCCATGAGGCGGCAGCGATTTCCTCTCCAGTCATACATTTACTACACTATGCTCACTTTCTGCTCATGCTTAGTAAAAAGCAGCTCCCATCTGCAAAATGTTTAACTACACGCTAAACGCTACCCTTCAGTCGCATTAAAGACCGTTATCATGTTTTATGCTCGCTGGTTAGTGCAGCAGATTGCTCCAACTTTCAGAAAGGCTGCTTCCCACACTGCATGCAAAATCACACCACTTTGCAGCACTTACATACCTTTCCTGTCACCCTCCATTAGCGTAAGAGCAGCTTAGCCTATACATCACTTCACGAACACCCATCTCTCCGTATAGTTAATGTTGTTTTGGTCCTCTGTTCTGAAACACGATTGAAGACGTGATATACTGTAAGTAGGAGGTCAGGACTCTGAAGTCAAGCTAAATTGCCCTGATGTTTACATAATAGCTACTAGCAGCAATCATTCCAAATATATAATATATAATTAATTTTTACTGCATTCTGCAAGTTTTAGACTCTCAGGGTTAGTCTGTGGTTTCTCAGCATATATATTGTGATGTTATGTTTTTTTTTGTTTAATCACAGACCTCGTGTGCAACAGGACTTTTAACAATTATGCCTGTTGGCCCGATGGACTCCCTAACACTACTGTTGTTGTGCCATGCCCGTGGTATTTGCCATGGCACCGTAAAGGTAAGAGATGTGTGAGTTTTTGGCCATACACAATATTTCAGACATGCTCATGCCAGGTCACTTAAAATGCCCTGCAGAGAAGGACAGCTGCCTATGACTGGACTTCTCAGTAAATCACAGAGGTCTGTTTCTGTGTGTGTGTGCGTAGTTCAGCATGGCGTGGTGTATCAGGAATGTGATGTGAATGGCCAGTGGGTGACTACATATAATACCAGCGAGTGTGATTCTCATGAACAAGCACCACATCTGGTAAGAATAGTCTTTTTTTATTCTATTTGATCTGAAAGCATTAGATATAGCTGAGAGAAGCTAAAGAATAAAGAAATTTTGTCTAATTTTACTATAAACAAAAAATCAAAATGAAAAAGATTTAACAAACGTGTGCTCTGATCTGCAGCAGTACTATGTCCATATTCGGATCATGTACACGGTGGGCTATTCCTTATCCCTGGTGGCTTTAGTGTTGGCTCTTGGCATCCTCATATTCTTTAGGTAATAATCATTTACACCTTAAATCATTTCAAGCACATTTTAAGAGAGCAAAACCAGATGATTGATACACCAACAGATTACCTCTTGGATGATTGTTGCTTCTCCTTCATCAGGAAACTCCACTGCATGAGGAACAACATCCACATGAATCTTTTTGCCTCTTTCATCCTGCGAGCTTTGTCTGTCCTCATCAAAGATGCTCTGTTCGAAACCAGCCACATAGCACAGGGCCTGAACAGAGACGAGGAGCAGGGATTCCCCCCTGCATCTATAGCTCCAATAGAGCTGCTGGTCAACAACGAGGTCAGTTTTGCTCTTCATATTTAACAGTGATCACCAAAGACTTAACACAGGTGGAAATGAGACAAATGTTTTCTTATTTGTGATCTTTCTATTTTTTTTTTTTTGATTAGCTGATAAATTAAAAGTGCAAAACAGTTCTGGATCTAGGTTCTGATCGTTATAGTATGTTCACAATGTGTCATAAAGGTAAATGTTGAGCTCTATAAGAACAACAATCCTGATTCTGTTTAAAGGATTCATATATGCGCTCATTAGACAATTTGTTTAGTACTTACTAGTACCACTGCCTAAGTTTCCTGTTCTTAACTGACAGAAGTGGTACCCAGTGTGGCCCATCTGCTTCTGGTTTCGGCATGTCATACATTCAGAGATGCTCTTCTGTCTGGCTTGGTTGTAATGAGTGGTTATTTAAGTAACAGTTGCTTTCCTACACTGAAAAAAAGGCCATGTTGGTTTTACTTGATTCAATAGTGGACATTGGTTGCACACAAATGTTTTGCTTTGGCAGAAACTTAAACAACTGAGTTAAATCAACACAACTTTTTCATATTCAGTAAACCGGTGCATTTTGTGTTCATAAATCGCGATTGAAACATGTTCAGATGAAGTATGTTGAGATCTTGGAATATTTTAATCCTTCACAATTTTGTCATTTTATTTCAACACTATTCAATAACTTTTACCCCAATACTACTTGGTCACTTAAATACTACTTGCTGTCTTCATATTACATAATGTTCAACAAAGTCCTGATCCTGGTTACCATAAAAATTGAATGGGTCTTCAACAACTACCATCCTTCTTTATCCTGGTTGCAGGAGGGCTGGGAAATAACCCTGAAGTGATAGGTTACGGTGCAGGGTACACCCTGGACAGCTGACCAGTCTTTCACATAGAAACAAACAACCATTTACACTTACATTCACAGGTAATTTAGAATTACCAGTTAACCCTAACTCTAATAACTGCATACCGAAACCAGAATACCCAGAGAGAAACCTGCAAACTAGCCAGAATGTGGATTTGAACACAGGACCTTCTTACTGTGAAGCAACAGCACTAACCACCATGCCAACAATCTAGGAAATGTAGGAAAGCTATGATTTCCTGTATTTGATGCAGAATTTTTTTGTTTTTGTAATAATCCACAATAAATAGCAATAGCATGCACGTGGTGCGTGTGTAGTTGTCTGCCTCTTATAACTCCAGTGATTTTCCTGCAGTTTGAAATCTTGTGCGATCTTGTGAATTTCATGAGTTCAGCAACTAACCACTCTTACTAGATTGTATCATGTCGTCTCAACAAGAACAAATTAAGTTTTTGAATTTCATACAGATTCTTCATGATTTAATTACGTTCATAGAAACATGAAATTACTGTGTTCAAATTACAAGTTAGACTTTTTTAATGTAACAACCACCCAATTTACTTTTTTTGGTATACTAAAAAAAGTAGAGGTGGCTGCTCGACTTGACTGAGATGGATGCCTTCCTGAAACCACGATCTAAAGAGCGCGAGTCTGAAACCCGTGCAGTGTCGCGGGATTTAACATTGATATATTATTGACTTACTTCACTTGAACATGATATGAAGAATTTAATCTAGCCTCTCTGCATATCATGTAGTTTCTACACTATGTAGTTACACTTAACTTTAAAGCATGAGGCACTTGTGTTAAATACACGCAAGATGCTTACGTAAATCCAAGAGCTGGCCAAACAATTTTTTTCAGTGTATCAGCTTTCTGACTGAAAAAGCAGACTAGACCAGTGTGATCAGATGAGATGAGATATTTGAGCCATCTTATGACATTCAGAGATGGACCTGCTTTTGTATTTTGGATCATTGTCCTGCTTGAGAACCCAAGTGCACTTCAGCTTGAGGTCACGAACAGATGGCCAGACATTCTCCTTCGGGATGTTTTGATAGACATCAGAATTCATGGTTCCATTTACTACAGCAAGTCCTTCAGGTCGTGAGGCAACAAAACAGCCCCAGACCATCACACTACCACCACCATATTTTACTGTTGGTATGATGTTCCTTTTCTGAAATGCAGTGTTTATGTCTGCCGTTACTTTTACGGCAGACATAATGGGACTGAAACCTTTCAAAAAGTTTAGCTTTCTCTCTTGGGTATCATCCAGATGTTTTGTTTTTTTTGGCAAATATAAGATGAACCTTTGTGTTCTTTTTGATGTGGTTTTCTCCTTGAACTCTCCCTTCGGTGCCATTTTCCCCCAGTCTCCTTCCTATGGCTGAATCATGAACTCTGAACTTAACTGAGACATGTGAAGCCTGTGGTTCTTTAATGTTGTTCTGGGTTATTTTGTGATCTCCTGGATGAGTCATCAATGTGCTTTTGGAGCCGGTCATTCCTGGGAAGGTTAACCACTGTTCCAAGTTTTCCCCATGTGTAAATAATGACTCTCACAGTGATTCACTGGAGTCCTGGAGCCATGGAAATGGCTCTGAACCCTTTCCAGGCTGATAGATGTTAGTGACTTTGTTTCTCAGGTGTTTCTTTAGATTGTAGCATGATGCGTTGCTTTTGGGGATCTTTTAACCTGTTTCACTTTGTCAGACAGGTTCTATGTAAGTAATTTCCTGATTCAGCAGGTCTGCCAGTAATCATGTCTGAGCCTGTTTAGTGAAACTGAACTCAGCTTCCCAAAAAATGAGATTAATCACAGTTAATTCATGATGTAACAAGAGGGTCAATTACTTTTTCACACAGGACCAGTGCCAATTTTCTTCCTTAATCAATAAAATCTTTATTTAAAAACTGCATTTTGCATTTACTTATCTCTGTCTAATCTCCACATTATATTTAATTGCTTTTAATCTCAAAACAGTTACAGCTAAAAAGGCTTTAATTGATTACTTATGTTAGTCAAGCAAGTGAGGAGTCTCACCAACACAACAAAGATGAGAGACTGCATACATGACCAAAATAAAATACGTTTACTGCGGAAGAGATACATATATAAAAGGAGGATCATGTGCGCTGGGTTGTCACAGATGGCTGAAATTGGGTTTAAAGTTGCTGCTGTTGTAAAATCTTACCTCTGTGGGCACAGAGCCTGAATCTCACATCGGCTAAATAATGTGTCAGGCGACTCCTCTCGGCAGTGTGAAATATGTGATATTAAACTTTTCTTGCAGACAATGGTCAGCTGTCGCATTGCCATGGTTATGATGCAGTATAGTATCATGGCTAACAGCTACTGGTTGCTGGTGGAAGGCATCTACCTCCACAACCTCCTGGTCATCACTGTGTTTACGGAGAGGAACTACTTCAAAATTTACCAGTGCATCGGTTGGGGTGAGCTGGCCTGAATCTGTGAAGTCATAAGTCAGGGGGTGCAAGTCAGTTATGTGTTATACGATACTTTTTGAATTGAGCCAAATGAAGTAAGAGCATACAAATTGTCAAGTGCTAATTGGCTGTTTTGCATTTAGACATCTCTTGTTTTTTTCACAGGTACCCCATTAATATTCCTGGTGCCATGGGTGGCGATTAAATACCTGTATGAAAATCAGGAGTAAGTTTCCCTCTCTTTCCCTCTTCCCTGTTCTCCAGGTTGTTTAACAAGGGTGGAAACCTGCCAACGAGTTAAAATTTTAGCTTGTAACATTTGTATCAGGACACCATGTCAAAAAAAAGTCAGCAGATTGTCTTTCTCCAAAAATCTTGATGCTTGCGGTTAATTTAACACACAATTTACTGCATGAAGGATTGGCTGCAATTCAACTTTTCACACATGTTTTATCTCCTGCTGGATGCCAGTCTGGTTTAACAGCTGTGTTTGCACATTCTTAATATTTCATGTTAGCTTTCAGCAGGACGCCAAATATTCTGGAGTAAGGAGTAAATGAAGTGCTTTTAAGGTCACACTGTGCTCTTATGTAAATTCTTAAAAGCCTTAACAACATGTTTTACAGTGTGAGCCGTGTCCACAAGCGTTCTAGTAAAGTAGAGGAAATATGTCAGGTGGTCTCTCACTGATATTTCATTCAGTGCTTTTCTTTCATTCTTTTCAGTTGCTGGGAGCAAAATATAAACATGAAATACTGGTGGATCATACGCGCTCCGATACTGGCAGCTGTTATGGTAATTTTGTCGTCGTCCTCCACCTCGTTATGTGTCTTCGCATCTTGTTATGCCATGTCCTTTTTTTAACATTTCAATTATTTCTGCATGTAAACGTTAATGGGAAAAAAGCAGCTTCGCCTTAAAGTGGTATATGACTGTGAATCAAGCATTTCCAGCTATTTTTATCCCCCACTGGTGCACCGTTAAATATTAAACTCACCTCTTTTATTCATGTTGTGTTAAAGGTAAGATGTGCTTCACCCAGAACTTCTGTGAAGCCTGTCAGGACTCAAAGATTTGTGGATTAAATCTAATTAATATTTGCATTGTGACCAGCTCTGCATACTCTCTTCATCCTGTCACCAGGACTTTTATTAGACATGTGTTCTGCAAAGGTCATTTCTAAGCGTTTACACAAGTCCAATTTGTCGTGGCTCTTAAGTGAGGCCAGACATCCTGGCACTTTCCATGCATTTATCGTCCAGCTAAGTGACCTGTATCCCACAGGAATTCCTGTGTTTGAGTTCCTGTTGGAATGGGAGGGCTGGTCCCAATTTCACTGTTTCCCTCTTTATCTTGGTCCCACCATTCTCAAGCTGCACGACACAGTAGAAAACTACACTGTAGTATTCACATTAATTGTGTGTGTGTAGTGTGTGCGTGTTAGACTGCTCCAGGTGTTACAGATATTTTGACAATTACAGCAATTTCATTCAAGTCTGTGCAAACATAGAACTACAGATATGCATATGCAGATAAATATGTAGGTGGTTTAATACGCAGTGTGCTGACAGATTTAGCCAGCCTATAGTTAGCTTAGCATCTGTTATATACACTCGCCGGCCACTTTGATACAGCATCGTGGCATAAACTTTGTACTTCAAACTGAGCATCAGAATGGAAAATCCAAGTGACGCTGAATGCACCACGTTGTCGGTACCGTGCAGGCTGGTCCGAGTATTTCACCTACAATCATCTCTATGGTTTACAGCAGCGGTCCCCAACCCCCAGTTCACGGACCGGAAATGTGTGGTTTTATGGGGTTTTAGTGTTATTTTGTTATCGTTTTTATCGTTAACTCGGTTTTCCTGGGTCTTTTCACGTGTGTTATGAATAAATCTTCTTTTTTCGGTACCGGTACTAGTTTTATTTTGTTGTATTTATCCGCGACACCTTAAAGGCCGGTCCGTGAAAATATTGTCGGGCATAAACTGGTCCGTGGTGCAAAAAAGGTTGGGGACCGCTGGTTTACAGAGCGATCAAAAAAATTGATATATATTTTCAGTTTGGACCCCTTACTACCAAATGATCATCATTTAAATACCACAACCTGCCTGAGCATTGTTGTCAACTATGCTTATCCCTTTATCACCACACTGTACCCATCACCTGATGGCTGCTTCCAGCAGGATAACTTGGCATGTGGAGGAATAGGAGATTTACATCATGGATGTGCAACTAACATGGACCAAAATCTCGGAGGAATCTTTTCAGGGCTGTGTTGAATCTATGCCATGATGATTTAAAACACTTCTATATTGGCTCTAAAGTGATATTAGTAAGATGTACCTAATGAAATGGCCAGTAAGTGCATATTAATATTGATTAACAATTTATCATGGCTATGGTTAAGCTCCTTTTTTAAATATTACAAGTTACCGTATGGTTTAAATGTTGAATAACTGTGCAGCGTTACACAGTTCCGTTCACCATTAAATTCTCATGCCAGTACATACTGGGCTGCTGATATAACAATCCGTGACAGAAATCAAATGCACGCATTAGGTCCAAGCACCACAAATTACCCATGACAAATTATTTTAAAATATTAAAGGTCACATCATAAGTGATTTCATCAGGAGAACACCTACTGTTGTCTGAAATGCCAGCTGTTATGAAAGGGTTTCCCAATGTGCTTGAAAACACTTTTGCACAGCTATTGGGACTAATGCAGATAGTTATGCTTTTATCTGCTGATCCTTTGTGATATTTGTAACTCGGATTTCTTCCATTTCTCTCATTAATCACAATTTTTCTGGGCCTGTATGCATCTGGAAGATCCATCTCCACTGTACTGGAGAAAGATGAGCTTTATGATGGTATCTTTTGCATAATATAAGTAAACTATTTCTTTCTCTGTCTCTTACAGATCAACTTCCTTATCTTCATCCATATCATCAAAATTCTCGTGTCAAAGCTCCGAGCACACCAAATGAGATACACAGACTATAAGTTTCGGTGAGTGTGAATATGATGTTGTTTTTCTATTGATTTGCGTTTTTTTCTCTCTACTTAGTCTTTGCTTTCTCTCCTTTGTCTCTCCTTTCCTCCGTCCCAGGTTGGCTAAGTCAACGCTAACTTTGATCCCGCTGCTCGGGATCCATAATGTGGTCTTTATCTTCGCAACAGATGAGTCCACCAGTGGCAGCATCGGCTTGCGTCTCACCAGGCTCTTCTCTGACCTCTTCTTCTCCTCCTTCCAGGTTGGACTTTAACAACAAATGACTGTCAGTCATGAACTTTGAAACATGTTTATTTTTTCACAACACTATTTCTAGTATGATTCAGCATCATTAATCACCTTAAGGAGAGTGGTGTGCCTCAGGACAGTGAATTAAGCCATCTCTGGTTTCAATGAAAGTTATTGTTAAAGCTTTATGTGGTGTAATAATTCACCTCAGCTGTCCTTGCATAAGTACAGAACAGGAAAAGAAAATACACACCTCAAACCATCAAAAACGGTTACGGTTTGTCTGAGATGCACACAATACAGCCTTCATGCTACAGCTGTGCCAAGAATGGATGCCAAGGCGTAATGGTCCAGAAAGGCAAAGTCCACATATGGAGGCACTTAGGGTGGCAGTTGCTGGTAGGTTTTCAAGGCAGGAGGTCATGATTCACATCCAGTTTTTCTCTGATTTGTTTAGGTATCAGTTACTGCTTGATACCAAAAAGGTGAGGTTTAGGGGAGAGAATTGTGATTTGGGCTTAAATATAGCCCTCAACGCTTTCCATGGAAAACTACTTGGTAATACATGGTACTCAGTGCCTAGGAACTGGCAATTTGTCCGGGTTGTTTCACCTCTCACCCTGTGACAGCTCGTGAACTCACACAAAACTCACACAAACTGATTGATTGATGGAAACTAGTTAATTTAATTTTGTGCTTGCCAAGTAGTCCTGATCAAGGGTGAATGGGTGTTATCAATATCAAGTGTTTGTGTGGAGAGATGTGACAAAAGGGTTAAAACAGCAATTTTAAGGTTTGTTTTTTGTAAGTTAACAAATGTTAGCTTAACAAGATTAAATGTCCGAACTGTAACAGCATCTGAATCACAGTTAGAAATATGTTGTGGGCTACTAAAAAATAATAAAACTAATAATAATCTTGCATAATTGTCTCTCTCTGCTTCTGTGAGTTTTCCATCTCTGAGACAGTCGTGATGTGCTGTAATATTTGTGTGTCAGAAGAGATTAAATTAATGCACTATGAGCACTGCTAAATGACTTTGTCACACAGTGACATAATTAGAGTGACCTTTAGGCACTGGAAACAGATATGACAGATGACCAACAGACAGAGCAAAAGAGAATTTCAAAGTCAAAAGTTGGCAAACATAGCTGTGAGGCTTACATCTTAAGACAGATGTTACTCAAAGGCACTTGTGGTTTATTTTAAAGAAGCAAACTTGCAGTTTCTGCCTGGATTGTGGTGCATATATTAGAATACATTCAGTTTCGTGTTTTCATAGCTGCATAGTAGCATGTAAGTGAATATTGTGGGTGAAAATGGCTAGTAGACAGAATGAAATCAGTATTGTTTGTCTTCACAGGGTCTCCTGGTGGCAATCTTGTACTGCTTTGTCAACAAAGAAGTGAGTCATCTCGATTGCACAACAAATACACCATCTTCACCATCTTCAGATGTTCGAAGCTTTGTAGTGTCTACTTTATGTCTCTGCTGTCTCCCCAGGTGCAGTCTGAGATCCTGAAGAAGTGGAAGCGCTGGAAGCTAGGGAGGAACATTGAGGAGGAGTACCGCCACACCTATAGCAATACCCCAAACACAAAAACAACCAGTCTCTTAAACCACGCCCCTCGAATGCCTCACCTCCCAGACATCGCCAAAACCACCGCCCCAGTCTGTAGCCCCGAGGAGAGGCACATGCTCGTCGCTAGCAACCAAAATGGCATGGTCCACAGTACGGAGGAAGGGAAGTGTGCCTCACTGCTGCACGAGGGGACCATCAGTAACTATATCCTGGTAGAGGACATCAGCATTACTGACAAGCTGCAGTGTTACGAAGTGCAGAAAGAGAACGTGGAGAGCCACCTGTGAAAGCTACTGGGACTACTTAAAAAAGGAAGTTGGATGGCTTTGGGCTCTCATCGTGCTCTGACAGACTGACCTGCTCAGCTGTAAAGAGTCAAGTTAATGGTGTCACTTTTCAGGTCGGCCCTCAGAGATCTGCGTCACTGGAGAGCTGTCGCCACAGTCTGAGAGGAGGATCAGGAAGGGCATCCACGCTGACATTTCGAATGTGCTGCGAGTCTCGTGAACGGATTAGTTTAGATGTTTTTTAGCACAGAATAATAAGCTGCTGCATGCTGAACAATTTTTGCAACAGCATCCCGAGGCAGATAAGCCACGGAAGATCGTAATGACATACCAAACATGAAACCTGAAGTAACAAAAAAATAAATAAATAAACCCCAACTGTAAGGGTCACAGGGTCCTTGCTTGAGCCTCTGCTTTAACTTATCCTATCTATCAAATTTCTGGTACTAAAGTTTAAATACAAAGAGAGCATTGAACTGAATACACACAAAAAAGACTACAAAATATACAAAATAACATGTAGGTAGGAACAGATGGGAAACCTTTTTTCACACACACATAT